TTATGAATGTAAAAAATTTGCTTGAGCCCAGCCCCTAAATGCTTAAGTCCCGACACCTCTTTTGTTACAAATTAAGCACTGATCCCAAGGAGAGTTTCCCTCACTGAGGCACTAGTTTCCCCTAGCGCCATGCTGGCCTCGTACTGACGCGAAGGGAAGAGCGCCTCTTAGCGAATGGGCCACAATACTCCCTGCAGCACCCTGGCTTTCCCCTGGAGGTCTTCCATCCTGCCAGCTTTGACTCTGGGCAGCTGCGGGATGGCTGCCCATGAGCGGCACAAAGCCAAGACTCGGAGCATTAAACCAGCAACGTGGTCCCAAATCCTCCGGTGTCCACCAGCCCTGCCCTCGGGCAGAGTGGTCCTCAGACAACCGGGCCCTGTCTCCTGACACTCCCCCACCCCCGTGCCTCTTCTCTTCCCCAGGCTGCTGTACTGGCTGGCCTACGCCATGGGTCGCTCTTTCCGGGGCTTCGGCTTCGGCCTGACCTTCCTGCCCCTGCTGACCATGCTCCTGTGGAATCTCTACAGCATGTTCATCCTGGAGCCCGAGAACATGTTCGCCACGGCCGCCAACGGCAAGCAGGACACGCCGTCGGAGAAGCAGAGCCGGGCCGCAGCGCCCAAGCCGAGATACTGGGGGTAAAGGACGGGACAAGAGGCTCTGATGCTTGGCAGCAGGGAGATGGATTTGATGGCGATTAACAGAGCCCAGATGGGGGGCTCGGCCGGGGCACCCACATGTCAGCGCGTGAGTGCCCCGATGCCCAATGGGCTGGTTTGCAGAAGCGCTGAGCAACCCCCAACTCCAGCTCCACCTGGCGCAGGCTCTGAATCCCAAGCCTTAAGTGGAAGTGAGTGGCCAAATACAGACCTGGGCATGAGCCCCCCTGTCCATGCATGAAAACCATGGGCCCAACAGCGCCTCCTGCTGGAATCAATCAAGCAATTGAATTCCACCAGCTAACCTGATCAGCTGGCTTCAAAGGGTTAATTCAGTCCTCCCTTTAACTTGATCCAGACCTCAACTAGCTATTTATATTCAAATCGTCCTTTCTTCTGAGCACTCTAAGGCAGGTGCTCTTGGATAATTAGATCATGGAGCAACAGTCCCCACTAAGGAGCCTGCGAATTTCAAGGAGAAGAAAGATCCTTGCTAATAAAAGAGGACTTCCTCATTAACTGCACTGATAAAGGCAGCTTCTGAGCCAGGCTAACAGACTAGGGGGATGTCTATACGTGCAGCGCAGGTGAAGACGTTCTATGCGGATGGGAGAGAGCTCTCAGTCGGCATAAAAACCCCACCTCTGTGAGTGGCAGAATCTATGTCGGCGGGAGAAGCTCTCCCGTGGACATGGCGCTGTCTACATGGGCGGGGGGCGGTTAGGTCAGTATAACTGTTGCTCAGGAGTGTGGATTTTTCACACCCTGAGCGACGTAGTTATTCCAACACAGGTTTGTCGCGTAGATCTGGACTAACTCCGAGTGTCACAGCTAAATACAAGGCGGAACAGATTATTTAACATAACATATTTCAAGGGACCATTCAAGGTGAAGCGGCCCGTTAACGCCCCTCCAGTCCTAGGGAGGAAAGGAATGGGCGGGGGGGAAGGAGTTATTAGTGGGTTTCAGCTTGTTCGCATAAGCCATAAATCCAGCGTCTCTATTCAGTCCATGATTTTTATTGTCTAGCAAAGTTAACGGGCCACATCCCCTTGAAATATGCATTAACTACTTCTGTTCCGCCTTGTATGTAGCTGTGACACTGGGTTCCCCAGACCTGAAGAACTCTGTGCTGCTGGGAAGCTGGTGTCTCTCACCAACAGAAGTTTGGTCCAATACAAGAGATTGCCTCGCGCACTTTGTCTCTCTAGACTGGAATAAGCAGCCAGCGCTGTGGCACTATGTTTTCACCCCCTTTCTGGGTGAGGGACTTGGTTTAACTCATCCTTGTCCACAGGAACGTGGGCAGCAGTAGGGGCTCTGAGGCCAGACGGATGCATGGGCTTCTGGATTGTGTATTGATTTTTGGCAGGTTGCTGCCGTCTCTGAGGCTAACAGCTGCGGCTGGGGTTATTTTCCTTTTGGTTGTGAAACACTACAAGGCAAACAGTGGATGGAGGGCACAGGGGACGTGTGGAATCAGTAAACAGCTTCCCCAGGCAAGTGGAAGAACAAGTTTCATCAGTGGGTGGATCAGGATTGATTGGTATCGGGTCACTTTATTTTACTTAACCCCGGGCTGGAGTGGGCATTACTTAATAAAGTCTTTTGCAACCATCATGCTGGGCCTAGTCCCGCCTGCTAGACTGCTCCCTACCCTGGGGAATAGGATGAACTGTTTATTGTCCCTGTAGTCGTCTCCGAACTTCCCTGGTGGTTTCTGAAAACGTGAATCCACCCATGTTTTGTTTGCTTGCATCTACATTCTTTCTTTTAACTTTTACAGTGCTAGGGCCAAATTAGCCATTGGGGATGTGGTGAAGTCTGCATCACTTGAAGTCTTTAAATCAGGACTGGATAGCTGAGACAGAGATACTCTAGCTCGACCAGAAGCTATGGGTTTCGTGCAGGAAGCACTTGATGACGTTTTCAGGCCTGTGTTATACAGGAGGTCAGGGTGTGGTCTAGTGGACTGCATTGGGACTCAGGAGATCTGGGTCCTACTCCTGCCTCTGCCACGGGCCTGTTGGGTGATCTTGGGCCAGTCGCGTCCCCGCTCCGTGCCTCAGTTTCCCCATCTGTAAAATGGGGATCATGCTCCTGACCTCTTTTGTAAAGCATTTTGAGATTGACTGATGTACAGGGCCATAGAAAAGCTAGGGATTATTATTAATATAGTTTTGGCTTTAAAAGTCTATGATTGACATTCTGGCACCTCCCAGGCAGCCAGGCCTCCCTTAGCCATCACCCTCCTTCCAAAGAAATCATTTGCAGAGAGCAGCACAGAGGTGGGGAGTAAGGAGAAGGAGACATGGACTACATAGTTTTGCAGCATGTGGCCCCCGACTGAGCAAAGCATCTGTGCACAGTCCCTTGTGTTGGCTGTCCTTGCTTCTGTCAGGAGTGATGTACCCTGGGGGCTGTGACAGGGACTGCTGCCAGCTAGGCGACAGGGAATTTGGGGGGTTCAGTTCTACTTTTTACCCTCCAGTTTTACTCTTCACATCAGGCAACGTTTATTGTTTCTAAATCAGTTTTTTTAATCTAATGGCTGTTGTGTTGTTTCGGGGGTGGGGGGGGAGTTATGGGTTTTTTGTTTGGTTTGTGGTTTTTTTCGGTTTTGGTAACCACTTTTGCTAAATACAGTGCAAGGTGTAAACCAGCTCCATGTCCAAGTACTCAGCGTTCGGTACTGATGTGATCACCTTTGTGTGCAAAGCGCATGAATAAAACCTTTCCCATGGGTTTCCCATCCCTCCCTGTTGTCCCCTTTAGGTTAGTTATGGCTTAGCAAAGAACGTTACATAAGATTTTCAAGAATGCCTACTGATTTTGGCTGTCCACCTTGAAACACCATAAAGGGGTTATGTTCACAGCACATACACAGAAAAGTTACATAGAAACATAGTACTCTTGCTGGAAGGTTGCAACGTAACACAGCTTTATGTCTTAGAACTCAGAACAAGAACACACAAAAACAGAGAGAGAGAAAGCAGGCTGCTCCTTAAGGCAGCGAGGAACAGCTCACCCCACCTTGAATTAAGCTGTTTTCTTTACCAGCTCCTCTGCTCAAACGCTTCACTCAAGACCCCTCTAGCCTGCAAGCAAACCCAGGAAAACCCTTTCACTTAAAGTGATAGTTTGTAATTTCAGCACTGTTTTCAATACACCACAAAAGGGGCCTAATTTTCAGAGGGTAGGTGTTCAGCGCCGGTCTTAAAAAACAAACACAATGCTTTGGTGGTTTTTGGTAAGAGATGAGGTTGGGTCAAAAATTCTTATCTGAATGGATGTTGGAGGCATGGATGGGGAAGTAGGTGGATGGGTCTTGGAAGAGTAAGTTGGAGAAGCTGGATGGAAATCAGAGAAGCAGAGGGAGTGGTTGTATTCGGGGCCAGAGAGGAGGGGTGAAGTGAATCCAAAGAGTTTTGAAAGCCAGGAAATCTCATTCTAAACTGGAGCAAGAGATGGACAGGAAGCCAAGGCAGATGAATGGAGGATGGTGATGAAACGGCCCAACTTCCTGCAGTGACGGGGCATGCCAGTCGCAGCACGACGAAGCAGGGATTGAAGGCTATTCAAGATGGATTGCAATAAGTGAGACGAGAAGTGATTATGCCACGAATGAGGCAGGTCTGGATTCTGGTAACATTCCAAAGGCCATAGGCAGCAGAGAGAGCGTGGGAAGAGGCCAGAAGCGTAGGGTTGGAGGTGAACTCCCTGTATGTCTGGAGCTGGAGGAGATAAGGAAGGTGACAATGGAATCAGAGATCTAGGACAAAGTGGAGTTGCGTCTATGGAGAATGCAATAGACAGACCACGTCTGGTGAGGGAGATGAGTGTTATTCTTTGGGGCAGGGACCGGTCTTTGGTTCAGTTTGTACGGAGCACCATGGGCTCTTGCTCCATGATGGCTCCTGAGGTGCTATTGCAATAAATAATAATAACAGCAAGAGAAGTTTGCGTGGAGAATCCTCCTACGAGTGACCCTGCATTTTCCAAATCTGAAAGGCAGCCCAGAGATGGGAAAACACCTGTTTGGACCCTGCTAGCCCATCCCCCGGCCCAGTGTAGTACATCCGCCAGTCCTGAGTGTCCCACACAATGTTCCCCCAGTGACCATTCCACGCCCTAAGAGGCCTCACCGTGGAGATGTTTTTCCTCATCAGGCGGTTAAGTCAGAGGACTAGGACTCAGGCAGTGGGGGTTGACTTCCCAGTTCTGCTGACTGTTACAGCCTTCCCGTGTGACCTTGGGTAAGTCACTTCCCCACTGTAGGCCTCAGTTTCCCCAGCCTTTGTCTTGTCTATTTAGGCTGTGGGTTTTTTGAGACGGGGGCACCCTCTCACTGTGTGTACGTACAGTTCCCAGCACAATGCAGCTACAATCTCCGTTGTAAACCTTAGGCACTACTGTAACATACAAAATAATCATGACAATCCGTTCCTTTTGTTAACTCCCTTTCCCCCATGTTTACACTCTCTTGAATCCCCCTAACCAACCTCCGTCCTCTGTGTTTACCCACTTCACACCCTTGCCAGCAGTTCTCCCATCTCCCGGGGTTGAAAGCTTAGACAAGGAATAAGTCTGAGCAAGCCCAAACAACTGCAAAATTCCTGCTGAACTGGCCGGGGCCTGTTTTTGACCCAGTGCCTCTAGATCTGTGATGCGGCTCAGTTTCCGTTCCCGTAACTGGTTAGATCTGGGTGAGCCAAGCAACACGGAAGAAACTCTGTGCGTGTGTGTGTGTGCGCGCTCATGCGCATGCCTCCCTGTGTGTGCATCTGTGGGTGGGTGCGTGCGCATGGGCCCTGGGCTGGAGCTTGGTCACTTTGCTGGTGGGGCAAGTAATTATGGACATTCCTAATTTTACACCCTTGGTTGGGTGTGTCAAGAGGGATTGTATGGACCACTCAGGGTTCCTCATCCCTTTTTTCCTGGAACCCCTGCCATTTCTGTCTACCTTAAGTACTTCTGTGGCCCACGTCCCTGGAATATCTGAGCACCTCGCCACCTTCAATGTAGTTATCCTCACAACCCAGGCCAGTGCTATGGCCCTCCCGTTATAGATGGGGAAACCGAGGCACGGAGCGATGAAGAGACTCACCCAAGGTCATAGAGCAGGAAGTCAGTGGCAGACCCGAGCTCTCGCAACTCCCAGACCCGCATATTAACCACCAGCCCATCCTTCCTCATCACAGCCTCTACCCCTGAGGGCTGGCTGTTTCCCAACATGTCTCTTATTTACTCATCAGGCCCTAGTGCCAGCATGGGCGAGAGCTAGAAAATAAGGATGATGCTGGGGGAACAAGAGGGGAACTGCTCCTCCTTTGGCTTGTGTTAAAGGTACCATTCGCTTAATACCGTGCGGGAGGTTTTCGATTTATGCAGCACCGCAGGCATTGGTGGTGCTTTCCAGGCACATGAGAAAGCAGGGGGTGAGATTCTGATCTCAGGGCCTGTGTACACTTGAAACACGACAATGGCGCTGCTGCAGCACGTACCTACCCTACGCCAACAGGAGGGGTTCCTGCATCAACCTAGGGTGGTCTACGGCGGGACATGTGCCAGCTTCACTATGTTACACAGCCACGGAATTAAACTGACCTAATTTTCTAGTATAATCTATTGTAAAGCCAGTCACTGACTTCAATGGAGTAACTCACCAGTGTAACAGATCCGAATCTGGTCCTATGGTCATTGATTAAAGTGGAGGGATTCCAGTTTTACACCATCATAGCTGAGATCAGTGTGGCCCTGGCTCCACTGATTAAGTGGAATGACTCTAGATTTACCCTCAGTGTAACAGAGATCAGGCATGCATCCGATGAAGTGGGTTTTAGCCCACGAAAGCTTATGCTCAAATAAATTTGTTAGTCTCTAAGGTGCCATAAGGACTCGTTCTTTTGGGTGACACAGACTAACACGGCTGCTACTCTGAAAAGAGATCAGAGTCCACTGGCCCGGACTATTAAGTGGCGTGCCTGCAGATGTACACCAGCATCACAGATCAGTGTGGCCCTCGCGCCACTAATTAAATGGCGTGACTCCAGATTGACACCAGCCTAGCTGAGATCAGTGTGGCCCGGACTTTATTGATTAAGTGGAGTGACTCCAGATTGACACCAGCCTGAGATCAGAGTCTGGCCTGTGGGTGTGAACGCACCTTTGCCCCCCCCGCCGCCGCCCTTCCAAACCGATCTGCACCTCAACCCAGTAGCCCGGCTCCGGCTCCACCCGCGCCCGGGGCTGTGGCCGGCCGGCGGGGAGCGGCCCGGCCGCTACCCATCCCCGCCCCGGCCCTCCCCGCGAGCCGCTGCCGGGGCATGGCCGCCGAGCGCGGACCCGGCCGCAGGAAGCCGGGTCCGCCCCGCAGCGCCCTCCGGAAGGCGGCCCGGAGCCCCGGCCCCTGCGGTAAGGAGCCGCCGCGGGGAGAGGGGCGGGCTCCGGCGGGCGGCGCCCCCGGGACAGCTCCCGCTGGCGGGCTACGGAGCCAGGGGCCACCCGCGGGGGCTCGTCTCCACCCAGCGACCCCGATCCCACCTCCGCCAGCTCCAGGGGGCCCTGCTTCCATCTCCTGCCTGCCCCCAGTCCCCCACCGACCCTGCTCCCACCCCTACCAGCCCCAGGGGACCCTCTCCCACCCCCAGGGATCCTGCCTCTATCCCTGCCAGCCCTAGCCCCAGTCGAGCCTCCTCCACCCCTGCCAGCCCCACCGACCCTGGTCCCTCCCCCAGGGATCCTGCCTCTATCCCTGCCAGCCCTAGCCCCAGGGAAGCCTCCTCCACCCCTGCCAGCCCCAGCGACCCTGGTCCCTCCCCCAGGTACTCTCCCACCCCTGCCAGCCCCAAGGGACCCTACTCCCGTCTCCTGCCTGCCCCCACCCCTGCCTGCCCCAGGGGACCCGCCTGCTAGACCCCAAGAACCCAGCAACCCTGCTCCCACCGCTGCCAGCCCCAGAGACACCGGT